TAAATAAATAAATAACTGAAATGTATCATTTCTAGTTATTTGAAATGTTTGAAAAACAGAGCCCTTTTTCTGAGAATCATAAATTCAAACCGTTCTGCTTTGGCCCTGAATGGATACACTGTGCTAACTTTGTTCTCACAGATGGAGGCTGTATGTCTCCTCACACTATACACGGTGCAATAAAAAGTAAATAAACCCAGTTCTTATCTTTATGATGTAATGGCTTATGTTACATTAGCAACAGAGAAACACTTTACCCTTTTTAAATCAGGCAAACACATGGGCAAACAGGAACAAAGGCATTAATACAGACAGAGGAAAGCTCAGTCATGAATTCAGCCATGGGCTGTGAAACTATACAAGAGAAGAAAAAAGAAACTCCCTTGTCCACGATCTGAAGAAGCCGATAATGTCATTTTGAGACGCTTGGATTTATTCTGCTTTTGATGTAACGGTACAAATTGTTCCACAGTTAATGCGTCTGAAYCTTTTCTGTGTGAGAGGGAACAGAAAACAGGAGATTAATATTTAGGAGACAAGGCTGCTTTGAGTTGTCTCTGTTTTTCTMATACATTATGTAAACCGTCTGTCTGAAAGAAACACTCACCCATTAGAAGCTTTTTAGTTTAGATATTATATCACAGATCAGACAACATGTTCTTCCTGACACAAATGTATTTTTTATATTCTATTAATCATTGCAACAGGGAGGTGGAAGTCAAATGAAGACATTTCATCGAAAGAGCACATATTTGTCAAAATCTTTCATATGAAAACTGCATTGTAACATAGCAATCCTATTATTTGTTTAATTTTTTTTGTCCCAACCAGAATGTACAACCTGTCTATAAACCCTTACTATATGTCAGAGGAAGGGGAAGACAGCCCCTTTATCTGCTCGGCGCCCCGTGAGAACGGGATGTTGCGCTGCCACAGCGTGCCGCCCTACGTCGAGGGTAGACTGGAGTGCTCACTGGCTGCTCCCCTCCAAAGTTCTGCACTGATTGGATCTTCCCCCGGAGTGGGAGGGGCCAGCGTTAATGGCTGCGTTAACTGGAACCAGTACTACAACATCTGCCGCCCCGGCGAGCTCAACCCCCACAAGGGAGCCGTCAACTTCGACAACATTGGCTACGCGTGGATAGCCATTTTCCAGGTATGAAGGGACACATGTCTAATTTGACTTCAGTAAATTTCTCATATTTAGCTTTGTTCAACTTGTTGTAGTGGTGTCTTAAATCCTTCGTGGCAGACAGCGTCTCTAAGCAGACCAAATACATAGGTTTGCCTTGAAATTCTGTGAACAGAAAAAAAAAAGTTATTCTTTTTTTCACTTTTTTTTACTTTAAACACAAAGCAGCTCCTACATTCTGAGGTGCCTGGCCTGTTGAGGTGGACCAGACAGAAGTCACCCACTGGCTGGATGTGACCTGCGGGTTGCCAGTTGTCCAATCCCTCTAATGGTTGAAGGGGCAATATCATGTAAAATCAACTTTTTTGAGCTTTATATCATGTTATAATGTTATCCTCTCATCAAAAACGTGCCCACAGTCTTGCTCTGACTCATTCRTGCATGTTTGAGAAATCCTGTAGTGTCCTTTTGCAGCCAGGCAGGGKAGCAAAAATGACAGGTTGGGACTAGAAMCGCCTTTTGGGTTCAGCTCCTCCTCTGGGCTATGAATCCAAGCCGAGCTTCCTCATCACAGAGCACACACACCCGGCCCGTGCTGAAATGGGCGAGACAGAAGCAGAAGGAGATTCTTAAAGAGACAGAGGCCAATTCCAMGGCGTTTAGAAACAGATATGATGAGGTCAAGTTTATTTTCAATTTATACACATAAACAACATTTTAATAACAACGGAAGGTGACAGAGTTACTTTATTATGGTATAGAATTTAAACATATGCCTGAGAAACACATAATATTGCCCCTTTAAAGATTTGTTCTTTTTATTATGGTGAGGGTGATTTGAAGATTGGTTTTGTGGACTAACTATTGTAGACTAAAGAAATAGAGTTTAATACAGATTGGCTTGCTGACAAGAGTTGTTTAAAAATGGAAGCAAACCCCTTTGGTCCAGGCCCAGGACTAACCAATAACTTGTCAGAATTTAACTCTAGTTCTCCAAAGTTAAATCACTCAAAAAGCCATTTGCAACAGGTAATGCATTTATTGTTRTAATCCTTTTTAGCAGAACCCCAATAGAAAATATGCTTCAAGTGTGATTTAATTCCAGGCTTTTCTGTTTACATGCCCCCCCCCACCCCTTTTTTTTTCCCGCTGGTTCCACTTTCCCTGGAGAACAGCCATGACTTACCTAACACACTCTGTGGGTCTGTCAGTCTGGCACGTTGAGAGATATGACTGGTTGTTAAATCTGTTGATTTGCACATTACTTTATGGAAGGGAGACTTACCTTCATTTGACACCAAACACTGAACTCCCATCCACACACAAACATATTAATCCCTGTTTAGGTACTCAGAACTTCCCTGTGTGTGGTCTCAGCTCATGAGGCTTTGAAGATTAGATTTTGATGTTTGCATTTCTTTGATTCCTTCTTTGAGATGGTTTTGTAAGTGACACTTGGAGTCTTAGATGAGATTAGTTTTTTTCCTCCCTCATTAGATGATTTGTGTGTTTGCATCCCTCAGCAGCTGCTTACTTGTGATGTTTGGCCCCAGATCTTTATTTTAAACACTTGAAGAGATTCAAATAAAAGGAAGGGACAGGAAGTWAAAAGAGCTAAGACTAAAAAAATGATGCTTTAGGAGCTACAGTTTGCTGGATGTACATGAAAATTGTGCTTCATTATTCTTGTCCATGACTTTGCAATGACCCGGTCAACCAATACCACCATCATGGGTGTCTCAAATCCTTCATTTAGTTTAAGTAATTTCAGAGTGCTAGAGCTTTATTTTTCCTGCAGCTTTGAGAGTTATTTGCAAACGTTGTTTTGTGTGATTCCAAAATGAAGRTTTGCAATTTTTCTCACTATTTTCTGCTAGTTCCCACAATCACAGCTCAGGGAGACAGTACTTCATCCATCTATCCACCCATTATCTTCTGGTTGTTCCAGAGTCAGGTCGTGGGGGGCAATAGCTTGTACAGTGGGGGCTCAAACAGCTCTTTCTATGGCCACCACTTCCAACCTTCATGGGAGGATTCCATGGTGCTCCCAGGCCAGCCGAGCAACTTTGACTTTGACAGTGTGAACGTTAACAGATCCATTTTTTAAAATCCAACCCAAGTCTTTTCAGTATGTGGTAACAAATCAGATACATATCTGATGTTTTTCAAAGCGACTGCAGTCTGAATRCTCGTGTCGCATTTCATCTGACTTTTACATCKGTTAAGTGGGGGTGTGCAGATAGATCCATATAACAATGACTCTAATCTTGAGTCATGCAGTTGAAGTCTTGTAGCTCCACATGTCTTYAGCTACAGCAACAGAAGCCCAGTTTTTTCTTTGTTCTTTTAGTTTTCCATCTCCTGGATGGTTGGCCTTGACAGTACACATGCTGATATTGGTGTCGGACTGTATTGTTACTAAAATGACTGGATTGATACTTCAGTTAGTTTTACTTCCAGCACATTGCTTCATTCCATAAATATATGCTGCACCAGAGCAGCTGGTCAGCTCTGAATACACAACAACTTCAGAATCAACATGCTAACATGTAGCATCCATGTTTTGCTAATTCTGCGAGCTGCATGTGATGTCATCTTCAGCACATCAGTCACATCAGTGCTCACACCGGAGTCAAATGGAGATTGCATTTAAAAATAATGTGAACATTCATACAAAAACATTGGGCCTCATGCAATAACATGTTCGTATTCTTATCCTAAATTTCTCTTACTTTTGTTCGTACAAAGGGTTCGTACGAACATGTCTATGTCAGGTTCAACAAAGTCTTCTATCTTCAGGGAAAGGGTGTAAATGAGCTGCGTAAATTCCACCTGTTCGTATCCAGCAGCTCATGCACGCGAGAGG